GGCACACCGGTGCTGAAAAAAAAGAAGAAAAAAAAAGAGAAAAAGTTGGTTGCCATTTGTGTGACATACCATCCGTTGCTAGGTTACAGGAAGACAGAGGCGAGTTTTCTGAATGAGCAGCAGGATGCGTCAGCGCCGGTTTACTGAAGACATCCTCAGCTGGCCTACATCCACGCTCGTTTCACATAAAATACCTGAAACAGGAGCCCGCTGAATTAAAACGCAAGTAGTTGGAAGCTTCCATTAAGGATGAGGACAAATTATGAAAGGAAAAAAAATTACCTTAAGAGTTCAGAATTTGATCAAAAACCACTTTTGTCTTATTGTGCCATAAGACAATATTGTGTCTTATTGTGGGTAAATATACATATATATAAAAAACAGATATTGCGGGCATCTGTTTTGAATTTCCACACGTTACAAGCAACAAGCAGCACAATTAGGCAGCCAGAAAACCCATTACCACTGGAATCCTGCCAGCTGGGGCTGGTCTGCTAGCATGTACTGAGTCAGCAATCAGTTTTATACTCACAGACACCATTTCTTACCCCAGGAACGCGATTACCCTCAAAATCCAGTGGATGGATAAGCATTTGAGTCTGTGAATTAACATGAACACTTTTTTTTTTTAAATCTTAATCCAAAAAATATTTTCTCCTAACCGTAATGGACAAAAACTGTTTTGTATATCTTAACTCGCTCATGGTTCTTTATGCAACAAATACTTAATGACTGTTTGTGTAAACCAAAAACCATACCAAAACCGAATTTGGCCCACTCTCCAAATTTACCCCCCAGAGCAAAGGAAAGTGGTCCAAAAGGGGAGAAAAGCTTTAATATCGACATAAAATAAAACTGAAAAAGATGCAAATTATAAGAGAAATACGAGACATCTTATATCCCCTTTTCTTTTTATTCATCGTTATTACTGAATCTTTAGAAACTACCAACAAGTAACAAGGTTCTGAGTGATCGGGGGGAATTAGATATGAAAACAGCAACATGGTGAGGAAACAACAACAAATCCAGCAGTTTGTTCCCACTTTAGCGCATGAAGAAGACCAGCATGGCTTCCGCCGGAAACACGAGCACACGCTGGGGCTAACGAGCCGTCCACACTCCAAACCAGCCTGGACTTTGCTTACATAACCAAACATTAGACCTCGAAAACAAAACAAAAGAGTGAAACTCCAGGCTTTCCACTAATTGACACATTCTATTGCAAGTTTACAGTGCAGAAGATCCTTTGATAATTGAGACGGCGAGATGCTTCGTTGAGTTTTCAAAAAAGGCGTTTAAACTAAATGTTCCCTGCAATAAAGATGCACTTGCTGCTTTTGTTGGGATTTGAATGATGACGCGTTGCAGGGCTGGACGGTATACGAAGCAAATTTCGCTTTGGACTTTCAAAAGTAGTGTTACCAAACCAATTACACACGCCACTATTAAACATAGCACTGCTGGTATATCTAAACCACTGTCTAGGCCCCCACCTCTGAATGACTCAGAAACCAGAAAAAAGTTGTTGTTTTTTTGTTTTTTTTTTGCAGAGGCCAAGTCAAAATCTTGATTGAAATGACGTGCTGTGGCTCGCATCAGGCTGTTCGTCTTAGAAAACCCTCCAATTTGGCACAACTGAAACGACCATTCTCCAACAAAGGCCGGTCCAAAATTCCTCAGCAGTGACATAAAAGATCTTTTCACACAAGACGAGGGTGGATCGTTTTTGTGTTTGATTTTTTTCATTTAAAAACTGCATTTCTATTAACTCAACTTAACTCAGATATATAAAAAAACGAACTTGGCAATCTGCAACAAATTAGATTAGGGCAAAACAGGAGAAAACAGCGAGGCGTTAAGTGCATTTTCACAGCACTGTGGACCTGCTTGTGTTGACCCATCCTCCCATGTTCCACGTTCTGCAGGGACGAACTCTAATGCAAAAGGCGCTAAGACTCAAAATCCCCCTGATCATATAGGCTTTCTAATGAAAGTGCTTAACAAATAAGAGCTGTGCCGTTAAAAGCGAACGCTTATGTGCCTGATTTTGTGCTTGATATATATATATATATATATATATATATATATATATATATATATATATATATATATATATATATATATATATATATATATAAACTCTAAAATGGGTCAGCAGCCAAAAGATTAAAAAAAAAAAAATCAAGTTATGCAAAAGTGGCAAGCCGTTTTACAGCAAGGTGCAACAACAAATGGTGCAGCAGTTTGAGGGTAAGAACACAAGGAGCTGGAGAAAGTCAACTTTTCACTCAGTGCATCTTCAGGGGGGGGAAAGAAAAAAAAAGAGCGGGGTAAATGAAACCAGCATGTCTTTCCGCCATGTGAAATGCTTACTGAAACACAAACCCGGGTCCAAACGAGTTTAACATGGAAAATGCGGAAGCTCCAACTGTATCAAATCGACATAGGGATAACAGAGCGTTGGCCACTTTAAGGTAAAAACAACAAACAGCTTCCGGTCCCCCACCCCACCCCCACCACCAGTGCCCGCCCACGCCGCCGGACCTGCTGAAACACCAGCAGGAGTACTGGGACTTTGTGACATGCAGCAGTGGGACGAGAACAAAAACAGAACATCCTCTGAAACCTGCTGACTGAGCTCATTACAAAACCACATTTGTAAAACAAGCACATCTGTCATGGAAGCAAGAGGCAAAAGCACAATTTCCAAATTATGAGAGCAATTTTGAATCAGAAATTTTAAATCGGCAGGCATTGTGGGAAGGCCCTTTTTTTTTTTTTTTTTTTTTTTTTGTTAGTATTATTATTATTATTTGAACTTTGTTAAACAGAGAGACCAGGAATGGGATCCAGGACTGGTTGTGGGTTTAATTCAGTGATTGTGAATCAAACCCATCAGTGCTGTAAAACAGTGTGATGGAAAAATTTGGGTTTTCCAAAACTGCTCCTACAAACAGAATCTTTGTTGCCTCTGAATTTGAGAAATTAATAAAATCTCTCCCCTGCTATTGTGGTAAATGCATCTATCTGCAGAGCAGGGGTGTCAATCTTGCTTTTGTTCTGGGCCAAATCAAGGTCATTAATGCTCTTAAAGGGCCGGTTGTGCCTAATGTACTGATAAAATATCAATGAATTCTGAAAAGTAACATATATTATGGAACATCTTTTCATGGCCCTCCAGGATTTTGTGATTCTTTTGATTATTTTTTGTGCAATAAAAATCAAAGTGTTTGTGGTACTAATTTGTAAGTATTTGCGACAGTACATGCGTCTTTGTGTTACTCACTGCATAGATCATGGACTATAATCTGACATCAGTTAGGGCTGAGGCAGCTTGATTTGAATGAAAGCATAACATTTAAGCATAGAATCTCGAGGGCCACTTAAAAAGCTATGGCGGGCCAGCTTTGGCCCACGGGCCTCGAGTTTGACACATGAGCTGTAGAGTGCATGTGAACCGTAAACAAGTGGCACGTTCACAGACGGTTTATCTTAGCTCTCCGTACCAGTTGTTTTTTGCAATAAACTCAAACAAAAACGGTCTAATTAACATTCGCTGCATCTTAGTGCAATTTCAAAAAGGCAATTATGCGGCTGCACTTCTTACAAGCAGGAGAAAATAAATCAAATCCTATCTTTACTTTGTGCCTCTGCGCTTCTTCTTTTTCTTTTTTTCTTGTTTTTTATTTAATTAAAGGTGCAAGAGTGAATTTCAGTTCTATTCAGTTCTATTCTTAGCACTTGCGATTAAATATTTTCCTGATGACGTTCGATGTGTTTTGTGTTGATCGAAACTTTTCCTCAAGACAAATGAAACCCGCTCAGGAAACTCAGGTTGCTTTGTCTGACTGTACGGCCGAGTCAATTTAAAGACATTTTGTACCGTCTATAAAAATATAAACACAATTTATAAGTATAAAGGCAAACCGTCAAAAAAAAAAAAAGCAGACGTTTCACTGTTACGTTTTCTTGTTAAAATTGACCAACCATTTTATTCCTGCTTTAATGGAATAAAATGGCACACATCCCAAAAAGTGACATTCGACAGACAGAGACTGATAGAAAACTCAGGGAGGGGAAATCAAGCGGCGATTAATCAGCTGTCTCTCTGCAACTTGGCTACTGTCTGTACAGACTCTTTGAAAAATCATACTATTGCAAACTTTGTTTTTTTTTTTTTTTATAGCAAAGCTTACATGCAGTCCTCCTCACATCGTTAAAACCCAGATCACACAACCTAATGCACAACGTAATAGATGTTTCTTACCATAAAGAATGCAATTCTGACCCTGATCAAACAGTGTAATGGTTCTGTTCAAAAGAAATGTGACAGACGTGGACATGCAGTTCTTGACTACAGAGTCAAGTTTTACTCTCACTGTGACAGGAGCAGTGCAAACATTAAAAAACAGAGGGGGGGAGAGCACATCTACTAATTTCATATGAAAAGAAAACCTTCAAATGATTTTCGAGTTTCTGCAAAAGTGAAGTAAAAGCTTCTTCTGATCGATTACAGTGAATCCAAACAGCTGAAACGAACAGGCTATGGAGCCCATCTTAAAGGAGTTAGATTCAACTCAAGTTTGTTTGGGGTTTTTTTCACTCTCCTCAATGCAGAAACGTGCCTGCTCGAACAGACGCTGATCAAAACTTTTTAGCACCACTTTGTTCCCTTCTGCAGGCATTCCTTTGTCTTTTCAGGTGAAACCGATGACTCTGCAGTGCACAGATCTCACTTTCTAAAAACTTTTTTCCCCCTTTGCTTATTTTAGTATTTTTATCCCCAAACTCCAAACCACCAAACAGTAAACTGTCTGCATCTTATTCCTCTCAACTTTGTTCCGTATGACAGGAATGATTAAGTGAAAGGCGCTCAGGTTGCTGCAGGCTTGGACTCCTGTGCGCCTTTTTTTTTTTTTTTTTTTTTTTTTGCGCAAGACGGATTAACCCAAACCTCTCCAAACTCTCCGAGAGCCGCTCTATCCGCACGGAGCACATACCTGTTTCCACAGAAAGCTGTCCACTCCGTTTAACATCCAAGAAATGGCCACGTGGATGGCGGAGAGAATAACTCCAGTGATGACAGCGGCGCGCATCCTGACGGGCAGCAGCGTGTAGATGACATGGATGAAGAACACGGTCCACCAGATCCCCTCCGAGGCGCTCCGCGGCCGCACCAGCAGCACGCCGATCACCTGGACCACGATCACCAGCAGGATGACGGCGTAGCACACCAGCCACATGTGGTCCTGGTGGAACGCGTTCCGGTTGCACACCACCATGAGCGCCAGCGTGAGGAAGATGGCCAGGGAGAACACCACCACGTAGGTGACCGTCGGCGCGCCGGAGCAGTGGAAGGCCAGCATGACGGTGAAGACCAGCACCAGCACTCCCATCAGCATGGTCAGGCTGCTCTGGTTGAGGCGGAAGAAGTAGCGCTGGTAGAGCCGCTCCAGCTTCTCCGACTGGAACTTCTTGGACCTGAAGACGTGCATGACGCTGACGCAGCACGCCACCAGGGAGACGTTCACCTCCGGCATGACCCCGTCCCCCTCCCGCTCGCCCCTGTTGTTGTCGCTCCGCGATCTGGCTCGGCGCTCCTCCAGACCCAGCTCCACGGACTTGGGTCTCACCTCGGCCGGGTCGGCGCGCTTCGCGGACGCGGGGTTGCTGTTGCCGCGGCTCTCCTCCTCGCCATGGTCCTGCCAAGCCGAGCGGGACCTGAAGCTGACCCTGCTGCTGACGGTCGTGGAGGCTCGCCCCGGAGGAGGCCGGCGCTCCGGATCGACATCCTCCGCCTCCTCCTCCCCCTGCTGCTGCTGCTGCTGCCTCCAGCGGCTGTTGGTGCGGGTGAGCTTGTTGCGCGGGGATCTGGCTGAGTATGGGCACCCGTTGGCCACAGAGTCAGCCTCTCCCCAGGCTGATCTGTGCTCGGTCCCTCCCCTCAGCCCGGGCGCACCGAGTCCGGGCGGGCTGACGCTGTTCGATCTGGACATTGTGGAGGACGCAACGGATAAACAATCACACAGGAAAAGTTTTGCTCCACTGACGTGGTGAGGGGGAGGAGTGGGGGATGGTGGGGGCTATTCAATCACAAGGTTGACTCGGTTTAAATGTCTCATACGAAGTGAGCTGTTCATCTTTGGGGACAATCTAAATATATTTACACAAAAATCCTTCGGGGAAAAAGAAAATAATAATAAAAAAATGAAATCAATTGAACATGACAAGTCACAGGGGGGGAAGCAGGGCTCGATCCAGGTGGATTTGGCTCTACATCATCGGGGCCCAATTAGCGCTCATCCGCGGAGAGGTTGCGCGGCAGCGCGCCTTGTGGATGGAGTAAATGCGTTACACGACTCGGAAGGTCCCCGGAGATCATAGCGCAGCGCCATCAGATCCACATCAGAGACGTTACGGCCGATCTGCTTCCTGTACTCCTGTGGTCGCCTCCTGCGATGAGCGTCGACACAAAACCAAAGATAAGAAAGAAAGAAAGAAAGAAAGGTCCCATGTCGGCACCTACGATCTCCAGGCACCTGTGCTTTGCAAATAAAAAACAAAAACGTTTCAACCTTGACGGTGGTGGGAGCCACACGTTCGGCCAAAATGAGGCATCATCATCATTATCATCATCATCATCATTATCACGATCATCTCACAACACGGGGAGCAAAGAGGAGAGATCTCAGCCGCTCCTCATCCTCCTCTTCCTCCTCTGGCAGTCGTGGTCAACGGCACAGCGTGTGTCGCCGCGCCAGCAGCTCATCGTCAGCCCGCTAACGCCGCACAGTCGACGACCAACAGCTGTCCGTCATCGCCGCTCAGGTCTCTCACTGCCGAGGGGTCCGGCGGCTGCAGGCTGTGGATCCGCGAGCCGGACAGCGGCGGGCATTTCACAGGGAGCGTCCACGCCTCAGCGCGTGCTCCCACGGCCTCCGGCGAGAGCCGTCGGTGTCCGTTCCGAGCGCGGCATCACAAACAAGTCACCCGCCACCCCGCGTAAACAGACAGATCCCCGCCGCCGCCGCCGATCGTCGCTCCGACGACCATTCAACCAAGTGTGCTTCCTGGGGCCCGCCTTTCCGCCGCGCCTCCATTGGAGAGGGGAAGAGGGTGAGTCACTCTCCGGCGAGCTTCCATTGGATCGCGGGCCGGTCAATCTCTCCCACCCCCCCTCATCGCCACGCGCCCACGATCCCGAGGCAGTGCGAGCCCCACGGACGCCTTTCGATTAATGTGCGGATCTCAGCGGCCCCGCAGCTGGAGAAGCCCGCACACGCAAAACCAAAAGCCGTGCATGATGGACCAACCGAGGGGTCGGATGTTCTTCCTCTTCGCTCCAAAGGTTTCTGGACCTCAATAGTCAACACAACTCCAAAAGAATAACAATAAAAATATACACATAGTCTCCACTGCAGTTTTATGTTTCTGCTCCTTTGAGGGGTTCAAAACTTAAAATTCCCACTTTTAATCCATTAATTAATAAATTGAGTTCAGCTCTTGAGTTGTTTGTATTGCAAATCAATTTTCTTTAATAATATAAAGCTTATATCAGATTAGACTGCTTCAGTCATTGATCGTTTTAAGTCGCACAGGCGATTGCTGGAAAAACGGGGCCGAGGGCGAGCCACATTTAACAGCCCCCATCCCAACCAGTTTTACATTTCCAAATTACACATGGAAGAAACACAAGTAGTAATAGTTCCTCTGTCATTTTCGTTTAGAGGTCATGCTGTTGCAGCAATTTGTTCAAATCAAAAGCAGTGGTGGCTCTTGGACGAATGGTGCCCTGCAGGGGCGCACATTGCTCACAATCTTCGCTCCATTCCAAACGTGTAATCATAAGTTCAACACTTAATTCAAGTCCTGTTGTATTGTATTGTATTTTTCTGGAATGGGACGTGGGCCTCATTGCAGAGGCGAGGCAAACGGAAATCTCCGGATTCAGACCTCTCTCAAAATAAACACGTGGTGGAACAAACTAAAATACGTACTGAGCTGTAAAACAAAAACTGACAAGACAGATATTACAGTCTGCTTCCATCCCAGAGATTGTACTTCCTAGAGGAAGTTATGTTTCCCCGTCACCACAGTGCAGCACCGGCACAATGAATTGCCGCAACGTCGGTTACTCGCTGCAATTGACATGGACTGAACAACCTTCTGCCTCCAGGTGAGTTGGACTGAATTTGGTTCCACTCTAGGATCGAATCAGAGTGGATGTGACTCAATAAGAAGTGATCTGTTCTATGTCAGTGCAGAAAATGAACCTGTTTTTTTAAAGCGAGGTGCTTTGTGATGATCTTTGCTGTGAGTTGGATCTTTTCCAAAATATCTTTCCATCTGTAGCTTTATGTTCCTATGAGTTTAGCTTTTCAAGTAAGTGTTAATGGTTCTTTTATTTGGGATGACAAAGAGGCAAATGCTGTGTTCACTCTGCTTTTTTTATTATTTTGTTTAATCATTTTTTTATGATAAATAATCTAGAAACTCACCTGTGTGAGTGAAAAATGACTCCTGACTTGTCTGAACAAAAAAAAAAAAAGAAGCTAACGTTTGTTTTTTTTTTTTGTTTTTTTACAGATGTCTCATCCCCAAGGTGATGCTGCCCTGGGTGGTGAGCCCAGTCGCCCATATGAATACCTGACACTGGCTAAATGTCATAATCCCCCTTTCATGACCTTTGAATAATCACATTTTGCTCTGCAGAGGGAGATTTTACTCATTGTCCTCGTAACAAGTCCGAGACTCTGCCTAACACCTGTTCTTATTGGAAACTTTGCAACTTTTGTCACATATTTAGACATGAAAACTAAGCGTTTGGCTCGTTTTAGGTGCTAATGAGAATAAAGTGGAAGCATGTGACGGCGAGCCGCATGTCTTGGCTGCGACCGTCTCACCTCCAGCTGTGTTCCTTGTGCCTCTTTCAGGGTGAAACGCTGTCAGCGTAGAGAACAGTGGCTTCCAAGAACAGTGGCTTCCATTCAGAGCATCCATCCCAGGTTTCCATCAAATAAGAAGAAACTGGGAGCTCAGATAGAAATCGGGCACAGAATGATCTTGGCCCGAGTTGTGCAACTTATTTTCTCTTGCTCGTCTTGTGACTGCGTGTTTGCTCGCCTCTCTTTGCTCTCTCAGATGTCAGCAACACGAGATGTCGGTGGGGTTGAGTTGGCAGGAATAGATGGGAAAGAGAAAAATTCAATTTTATGGTGGCAGTTTGAGACATTCGGTCAACTTACAAGAGTTTGCGCTTAGACTTAGAACGGACTCGAAGGCTTTTGTGAAAATAAATTGTCACTTGGCTCGCATTTGGGCTCTCTTCCACAAACATAACATGAATCCAAGTCAAGATTACTGGCTCACAGTTTTAAGGTACAGGTTGAAACCTTTGAGTCCTTCACACAATGGCCACATTTACACCGAGGTGAAATCACGCACAACTTGGCTCTTGAACGAACAGCGGACTTCTGGACGGAATTTTATTTAGGAGCATCAGAGTAACAATGGGCTTGTATCCCTTTCCAAGTTTTTGCTGAGAAGAAAATTGAAAACCCAGAGTCTTTAAAAAGAAAAAAAAATTAACTTCCACTGAACAATTATGAACTAGTTCATGTTGTCCTGTCGCTTAAAATCTAAAGATAAAAGCCTGCTTTTTGTGCTGGAAGCAGGGCAAAATGTGGAAAAGTTTAGGTGTTATGAAGGTACTCTAAAGAAAAAAAAAACTGAGGATTTTTTCTTCTTCTCCATCAGAGTCAGTCACACTCATCCCCCACAGTTACGGACACTGAAATAACAGGAATATGACCAATAAGAGGATTTATGCAAACAGTCATGAAGGACATGCATCTCCAGCTTTTGTCTTTTTTCTTTCACCCATGAATCTATCAACTGAAATGCCTTGAACAGGTGACCTGGGAACGTTTTCACTGATTGCTGTGCCATGCATTCGCACTTACCTAAAAAAACAAAAATCAAAAAGACATAATAAACAAAGTACAGTGATAAAATTGTAAGCCCACTTTGCCCATCCCTGAACTGTTGGCCTCAGGAAACTTTGACCTGGCTTTACGATTTTTCATGTCAGTCCACCACTTCCTCTCGGTTGTTTTATTCTTTTGGCATAGCAACGCTGGTAGTCAGTGAGGTCACAAGAGCAACTCAGTCTCTCAAAATAAATGCTTTGTAGAATCAGCCTGCATTGCTACATCCGTTTACCTGGAAGTGAGTGGAACGCCTGAATTAATTGTGGGGTGTATAAACCGATGCATTAAACCGTAGACTTGGGTTTGCTGAAGTTTCCCCGTGACGATTCATGTGATTGAGTCACATGAAAGGCTGAATGTACACTCCAGACTTCAGGACACAGAAAGAAAGAGTGGACCATCACTGTGGCTTTCCACTCCTCTAATTTTCACACAGCTGCATTTCATTTCCATGAATAGCAGCCTGGTTAGTTAATGGATTTAAAGACTCTTTGCTGCTTGTATGACATGCAACGTTTCCTCCTCCATGCTGTTAAAGTGACTCACAGGGACATTAAGTCAAAACACACAAAACAGCCAGTCTCTCTGCGCAGGTAATGAGGGGTATTACAACTGCAATTATCAGTTTTAATGATAGCAACACAAACACAACAGCGAATGTGCTTTACCATGTTTTAGGTTTATTGTAAATATATGTATATATATATATATACTCAGTGATCATACCCGTCAGTCTGCTGACGTCCTGCAGAAGTTTGGTATCAAAACTTTTATTCAACAGAACCAGATGTAAAGAAAAATACCATGCTTGAGTTTTCTTTTTTTTTTGCTTGTTTCCGCTTGGGTTGTGAGAAAAAGTCATCATTCGAGGCGTCTACATCACCGCTTTCATGCAGTTTTCAGTTGTGTTGTGCCGAGTACTTCCAACAAGCGAGGTCAAATCATGCTCAACCGTCGATGAAGGAGAATGGGAGCAACAGCCAATTGCTTCGACACGACCACAAAGGAGATCTGAATGCAGTGCAGGAAATGTTGGTTTTCCAGAGCACAGGTGTCAAACTCAAGGCCCGTGGGCCAAATCTGGCCCGCCGTAGCTTTTAAGTGGCCCTCAAGAATGCAGACTAAGCATTTAAGTGTGCTTAATAATTATTTTTTCAATCAAATCAATGCAGTTATCTGTTTAGTCCCAAATTACATCAGTCCCTCCAGTTTCTTGAGAATTAACGTGGAAGTTCACGCAAAATCAACAAATCCCCGCATTTTTATGCGCTAATACATAATTGGGAGTTTATTGCAAATTTTTCTCCAAAATTGTCAAATTTTCTTACTTGTACGAAACAGCTGCCTCAGCTCTAATTAATGTCAGATCATAGTCCATGAGCTACACAACGAGTGATAAAATGTCACATTTACCATCATAAATAAGTGTAAATATCACAAATGTTTTCAAATTAGTACCACTAATTTTTATTGCAAAAAACATAAGAATCACAAAATCCTGGAGGGGCCAAAAAGATGATTCTTGATTTTCAGAATTTATTGATAAAAACCTGATCAACAGTTTGTGATCAGGTTTTATCAGTACGCTCTGGCGTAACCGGCCCTTTAAGAGCACTCATGACCTTGATTTGGCCCAAACAAAAATGAGTTTGACACCGCTGTTCTGGAGAGAGAGATCAGCGTCAAAGGAAATGAAATAAACATCGATCTCAACTTGAAGGTGTCGGCTTTGTTCGAAAACATCAACGGATTCCTCAGTGAAGGGAAGCAGTCGGTGCTTTGGAAAAGCATTCCCACCCAGTTACTGCTACTGCATCAAATCTGAAACGCGTTTTCAGATTTGATGCGACAGAGGTGCACAAAGTAGTGCTTGGTTGTGAAGCAGAAGAAAAACGACAACGTTCGAAAAAGAATACAGCAAAAAAACAAAAAATATCAAAATAAGTGTATTCAGCCTCTTTCACCACTGGTCTATGTAAAGTCTAGCAGGTTACACTTCTCACTTCTTTTTTTTTTCTTTATTTAAAAATATTGATGTTTTCTTCCCACTTTGAAATTATGCACCACTTTGTCGTTTTATCACAGAAAAATCAATAGACGTCGAAAAAACAGCTTTTCCATCATAGTGTGAAATCCACACAGTGCAGTGTTTCCTGCAGCTTCCTTCTCAGAGATGGAAACATAGAAGCTACAAACAGCGTGGTCAGTAGAGTGACACCACTGACAAATGATGTTTTCATTAAAAAAAAAAAACAACAAAACGGTTGCAAACCATTTTGTGATTCGCTGCATGATGGACGTCATGTTTGAGGAAAACTAAAACTCTAACCTTCAGATGTCCTACTCCAAGTTCCAGACATTTACGTGGCTCGATATCAGAATAAGTGTCAGAGGTCTGTACCTTAGTCTTACAAAAATAAAACAAAATATAGCAGAAAGGTAGAAAGTTTGAAGTCTTTTTGTTAGCTCATAAAGTGACAGTTTCAGCTCACAGAAAAGAGAAAGATAAAAAAATAAATAAAAATAAAAAATCAAGACATAAATCACCCACAAGCACAAGCTCTTCACTTGAGAATATTACTTCAGCTCACACACCTCAATATTTAACCACATTTGAAGCAAAGCAATTCTGTCATCTTTTTTTTTCTAAATTGAAGTCAACAAATTTAAACATCCAACACTTATTTAGGCTACAATTGTCTTACATAATCAAAGCTCATCTTATTTTTAAACACTTTTTGCTACAGCATGTTGTGCTATCAGTTGTTTTTATGCCAAACTGTACCACCACTAGTTCTTCTTCTTCAGTAAAAGGAAACAATATGGTGAAAATCTACAAAACAAGAAGTTCAGTCCAAAATATCACTTTGAACAGAAGGGAAATGTGGAAACAAAGATGGATGCATCCAGTAACACAAGGTTTTTGAACATAAACCAAAGAAACAATCAGATCATGCAAGACGCCATTCATGGTGGAAAGAGCAGACAAAAGAATCACTACATAGTGCATTGCAAAAGTATTCGAGCCCCTTCAGCCTTTTCAGATGACGCCACGTGACAGCCGCACATTTCAGAGTATTTTAACGAGATTTTGTGCCATAAATGTGAAAATTACATAGAAATGGCGAGAAGAAAGTTTTGGTTGATAATTGTGGGAGGACGTGGTTCTCCAAAATATACATTGCACAATTAAAAAAATCAAAAAACAAATCATACATTACTCCTGCATCACAATTATGGCCAGCCGTGTGGTGATCCATCGCATGAAATCATCCCAAAATGTGTAGAAAAGATTTCTCCTTGGCTCAAAGCTTGTACTTCAGCAAGACACTGTAGTCTAACGTAAGCCAAACGAGCACAACACAAACAGCCACAAAGTTAAAATAATAATTATAAAAACAAGCATGCAGGCATGGGATGGAAAAAAAAGGTTTATTGAGCTAAATGTGGAATGTAGCCAAACTTTTCAATAAATTACATAAAGTGGAAATCATCAAATCAATTTGTACAAAGGACGCAAAACCTACAGACACCAACGTTCAGTGTTAGGCTCCAACTTATTCTTTCTATGTTACGGCAGCATAAAGCAAAGCAGAAGGCGATCAAAGAAAATAAATGAACAAATAAACGTCAGTGGGAGGTGAGAATCTGAATCAACTCTCCATTTCAGTGTCGTTAATCAGGAGGTCAAAGGTCAATTAGTGTATCCTTCTGTTTAGATTAGCTCTGCTCAATGCTCACAGAGCAGCTCATCATTTCTTTAAGCTTCAAGGTAATCACAATTTGTTATAAATATGCAAAAAAACCAAAGGTTTATCCAGAATGTCTGTATGACTCCCTTAAATTGCTGTAAAAATTTGAACGATTAAAATGGTGTGGGTGGATGATAGGATGATCTACAGGGTGGAGAGGGGCTGGTGGGGGTGTGTTTTGGCAGTTTGAAAACTAAAAACACGGATTTGTTCATTATGGGATGTTTTGGTTGCTTTCCTCTCGTGTGAGCCGATCGGAGCGCCGCGCAGCTCACTCCACCTTGCTGTAGTCGTCTGTGTGGCCCAGCACCTTCTTCCTCTGCCGCATCATGTGGAAGTACAGCTGGGGAAAGACTGAGGGGAGAGGTGTCGTTATGGCCAACGCAGGGAAAACGACTGAATTTGAAGAAAACGCTAACTTCTTGAACCGAGAGGAGATTTGCAGCATCTACCGTAACTTTGCAGATGAGCGGAGGAGGCAACGAAAACTTGATCCCAGGAGGAAAAATAAAAAGATCACCAGTTATCCCGCAGAGTTATGATTATCACCAGGCTTGCTGATAACGACACTGGACGATAAATTAACTAAGAAGTCATCGCGATAAACGGTAACATTGTTTTCAGGACATTTTCAAGTGATATAATGAGAATGGCATAATAATGCAAAAACACATTCTCAATACATTTTAAATTCTAATGAACATTTAACACGAGAATCAGAAGACTTTTTAAATATCCAAATTGAATAAAAAAAACATCAGAGAGACAACAAATTCTAAATTATAAGCTGAAACAAATGCATCAGGCTGGAGATTTTTGTCATTTATTATTGACCTTGTTTTAATTTATCGTGCAATTAGCTCATTCCCTTTATTTACATTTTGAATAAATATTTAACAGTAGTATAATTTTCCAGAAAAAACAATTTCATAATATCACTGAAATAAAAAAATACAAGCGAATGAGGTTTATTTAAAGATCCCTTAAAGCCACAGCACTATATTTAATTCTAAACGAAAAAACTATTGCCGTTTACTCTTCTTCCAGGAAACTTTGGCATTTATGGTGATTACAGCTCTAAATGTCTCAACAGGGCTCCCTACACAAACAGTTCTCCCAGCACACAGCGTGCCACAATATATTTTCAAACCTGCTCAGGAAACACGACAGCCTTTACTGCTACCATGGCAATCATTAATACCAATAATCACTTTGTCCCAACCATTAAAAAAAAGTGTATTTAGTTTTGATTTGAGCAAAAGCACAACACTGCATTCAGGGAAATGTGTCCTGTCTCATAATCTCTTTGCTTTAGGAGTGTAAGCATTTTCTAATTGTGACCCTTAACCCTACTTCCTGCTTTGTTCATAGAAGGAAAATAATTGTCAGGTCTTAACATTTTTATTTTTAGACTTTATCCCCTATCAATTTAACAGTGGTATTCAAATCAGTATGTTTATTCATCCATACTTTGTTTTCTTTTTCAGGCAACAGCAATTTTGTGTTTATACTTAAAAATTTAACCAACAAAGGATTAAGAATTTGGAACAGCAAGTCTGAAATCACACCTTTGAATCAGGGACTAATGCAAAACTTAGACAAGCTTTAGTTAAAATCTCATAAACAGGATGGATCTGGTGATTTATTTGCAAAGTGCTACTGCAGTAGGACTTAGTAATACATTTCACGGAGTCAACCATGTTCAGAGAAAGTAATAGTTCTGGTGTGTGAGGGTTTCTCGTGCAACGATCCACTGTTTTCAATCCCGGTACCGATACAGACATCTGAGGTTTAGTGTGGGTTGATATCAGCACATAAAAACAGTGCTGAACTGACTCAAAGCATTTCTTTTTTTAAAACATAAATGTACTAAATTAAATTTTTTTTGGTGAGGTGTTTTAAAAATACAACACAGTATAACAGCCAATGTAAAATAAATAATAAAGAACCTGATAACAATAGGCCGACTAGAATGACATTGTCACTGATACCTGATCTAGAATTTGTTTGATTCTAAGTTGTTTCTACTATTGTTTAAAAATGTGATTTTTCTAGTTGAATGAGGTTTGAAAACCATTTCTCCAGCTACCAATCAATTAGGATCTGATGGTAAACCCACTCCACATAAATTGATCCATGTTTTTTAATTGGCATTCATCAAATTTACATAGAAATTTCACATTGCAGCAGCTGTTTAGGCATCCGCTACATTTTTGTTCTCCAAATCATCACTTTATCTCGGTAGGAAGAACTCAAAAGGCCTGACGCTTCGAAAACCAAAAAATACGTTCGTCCTATTGCTTTTTCCTTATGTGTTTAGAACTTGGGAATACAAAACGTATTTATGCTGTGACGAAACGGTAAAAAAAAAACAACAACAACAAACTGTGCTCGTTTACTCACGGGGAATGTAAGAGATCATGACGAGGATGAGGAAGGTGTAGTAGTCGAAGGAGAAGTTGTACTTGTTGGGGAGGGTGACGGAGTACAGGCCCGTCTTCTGCACGTACGGCAGAGCTGCATAGATGGTCAGCAGTTCTCCGCTCACTCCCATCGGATACAGAACGATGAAGAAGGTGTACCTGCAGGGAGAGGTTCCAGACAGAAAAAGGCATAAAGAATCCATCTTAATAGTTTATTATTGACTGCTCCTGCATCGAGGGATTGAGAGGTAGTGGCATCACTATGCTGTAGGTTTTCAAAACTTGCAGCTAAGGCTAGAAAAACCAGATTGAGATAAAAAAACAAACAAACAAAAAACATATGCTTTGGAGTCAATTCTTTAAGAATGACCTAAGGTCAACCAAAGGGAACACAAACGAACAATTAAATTGGTGATAAAATAAACCAACTTTAATGATGCACATTATTACCTCATAGGAATCAAGTATCCATAATAAGTAAATTAAAAAAAAATAGCAAACAAGAGATGCAAAGCTGCTTCTGGAAGCTTTACGGTTTTTATTCATATTTAAAAAATCTAATAATCAGTAATTTTCACACCATGTGAAGAAAAACTAGTGCAGAAGTGTAATTAATTATGAACTTCCAACATCCTCCCCTTTAATCCAGCACCTCAAACCCCAAAACTGTCCACTCCTGACGCTGAATGTTTCACAGACGCGCAACCAATTTTCGGTCTCTTAGGGGGCGATTGAAACTGAAACTCAAATACCAATATAGCAGCGGCCTCATTTGCTACCTAGCAACAAAGACCGCCGGGAGAGAGGCACTTAACGACTGTTGCCTTGGTTGTAGATGCAGAAAAATCCTGTTGGCCAGGTAGAGACGTCCATTTTCATTGTGGAAACACAATTTGCTTCACATGGATGCGACCGTGTACTGCTGCTCTACGGCGATATATAAAGTGTCGCTGAAGCCTTTTCAATAACGAGGATGGAATTGATAGACGTTATTTTTACTGTGGAGATTGTTTTTGTGTCCTTTTAAAACTTCCATCTATTTTTTTATTGATATTGTATTTGACAGACCAACACAAAGTTGTTTGAAGTGGGAAGAAAACAGTAGGGTACTTTCATTTTTTTCTTTAATTGGATCCTAGCATTCATTCGTACTCATCCTTTCTGACTTTGTGAAGCTATATTTTGAGGCATCACTCCACTATTTTTGCACATCTACAGATTGGATAAATATTGCAGAGGGGTCAGGGCTCTGCACACAGCCCTGACCCATCTGCAGCATCCCAACACTTACGTCAGGATGCTATTTGTAGACTTCAGCTCAGCATTTAACACCGTCATTCCAGACAAGCTGGTGCTGAAGCTACTCAAGGTGGGGCTGCCTGCTTCACTGTGCCACTGGATCAGAGACTTCCTCACCAACAGGCCTCAGGTGGTGAGAATAGGTGGCTCAACATCGTCCCCACTGGTCCTCAACACAGGCACGCCGCAGGGCTGTGTGCTCAGCCCAGCTCTCTTCACCCTGTTTACACACGACTGCGTTGCCATCCACCCCACCAACAGTCGTCAAGTTCGCGGACGACACAACAGTAGTGGGTCTCATTTCAGACAACAACGAGACCCACTACAGAGAGGAAATTCAGCAGCTCACTCAGTGGTGTTCAGCCAATAACTTGGTGCTGAACACAGGGAAGACCAAGGAGGTCATTGTGGACTACAGAAGGTCCAGGAGGACGGGTCACACTCCCCTTCTCATAGATGGAGAAGAGGTGGAGCGTGTGGACAACATCAAGTTCCTGGGCCTCCACATCACGTCTGACCTCTCCTGGAATACAAACACCTCCCACCTGGTGAAGAAAGCACAACAAAGGCTCTTCTTCCTCAGGAAACTGAGACGTGCTGGACTTTCCTCACGGCTGCTCGTGAACTTTACAGGGCGACAATCGAGAGCGTCCTCTGCCTCAACGTGACTGTGTGGTACGGTAGCTGCACAGCACTGGAGAGGAAACAACTGACACGGGTGGTGAGAACAGCACAAGGCATTGTGGGATGCCCCCTCCCGGACCTGGACTCTATTTACATGGGCCGGGTCAAGAAGAGAGCTGGATCCATAGCCATGGATTCCAGCCACCCGGGCCACAGACTGTTTGTGCCGCTGCCATCAGGCAAGCGGTACAGGAATATACGGACTACAACAAACAGACTGAGAAACAGTTTCTTCCCCACAGCCGTCAGAGCCATTACTCCCTGCCGCCCCCTCCCACACATATCATAACCTCACATACACCCCCCACCCCACACAGCCATATTGTTCTGCACTTGCACTGTCACATCATCTGCACTTTACCATAATTGGACCTGCTGCTTCTTCTTTGGTGTGGTTGAGTGCCTTTAGTTAATTTTAGTTGTATATATTATTATTATTATTGTGTGTTTGTTTATTTAATATTGTATATTTTGACTTTTTGCACGGGAGTTGCAATAGAAATTTCGTTGAATCCTGTTCAATGACAATAAATGCTATTCTATTCTATTCTAAAACAATCCCATCATTTGTTGGTCTTGAACAATATCTCTCCTGGCTTTCTGAAGGTCAACAATTTGAATGTTTGGTTTTTAATAAAGGACTGAGGGAAACCTTAACACTTTACCACAGTAGATTTTAGAGGGTTTTTTTGTCTCAACATGACACTTGTTGTGAAGTGGTGCTATATAAAAACTAAATTGAATTTTTTGGTTATGTAGTCATCTGAGGATGAATAGAATTAAGACGTATCAGAGATGCGTCAGTGCTGGACTAATTTTGAATTAAACTGAATTATGACACCAAAAAGGACAAAAAGATTTACTGTACTCGATATGTAATTGCGTGTTGCTCATCACAAATCAAATAATTTGCATTATAACCGTCTTAAACTACTGTAGCTGTTAGATCATGATACATGTTTTTGTTTGAAATGTGTGGCACCATCCAACTGTGGTATATTTCTCATGCTTTTCAAACAGTGAGAACATTTACTGTAACCAAGCGTACTTTCAGAGATTAATGTAGATTTCTATGAGTAACAATATCTATAAATGCAGCAAAGCTCCTCTCGTCCTTTAATAGCCATGGAAATGTTCTTTCTTTTTCTTTACACGTTGGTCTTAAAGTTTATAGCATCACAGTGAAGTTTCAACTAAATCTCCTTGCCTAATGCAGACTGAGAGTTGACAGCACTGGATTCTCACTGACCAGTCCATAACTAGTGTCTTCTGTGTCTCACTGGTGCAGCTGAGGCTCATATCTAGGTGTTAAAGCACACTGAGCAGGACAATGAATCGCCCCACTGCTCCTTATGTGCTCAATGTCCTGTGCGACTAAAACGCTGCTTAGATAAACTGTGCAAATATATAACAGGAAGCACTACATGAGTGGGTGTACAGATAGGTGCACGGAAAACACATTGTAAAGCTATTAATAGAACTGAGCATAATACAGGGCTTTACAAAACTGTTCATACACCTTGAGGAAGATGTCTTTTTAAAAGGCAATTGCTTGTATCCACTTATGTCACCAAATGTGAAAAAAAAAATATTCCCAGTGTATTATAAGCCTGGCGGGCCACCAGGCTTTTCTTGCTCCCCCACCAGACTGAGCATTGTTTAATTATTTTCTGATGCACCAGTAACAATATCTGTGTTTCCATTGATCACATACCTGAGCAATTTGCCATTTCGAAAATACATTTATTTAATGGAAACATGTCAATTTTGGAAAAAGATTCTCGTTTTGTAATGAAACATTTTGGTGCTTGGATGAGGTGAGGATTTTTCGCAAACCTGCAACGGAAACACTTGTTGCATAACACAAGGCAATGCAACAAGTGTTGATAACAGCCAGTTATCAATATCTGGCTGTTGATAACATCTGGCTGTTGCTAACAGCCAGATGTTAAGACAAGAAAACAACAACAGGAAGCGGCACAACGACGTTTTTTTAATAACTTATTGCGTGAAAAAACTCATTTTAATTGCGTTTCTTGTTTAATGACAACACGGCAATTGCGAAATTGTGTCTTTTCTCACAAAATATTGACAAAGTTTTGCACACATTTGTAATGGAAACACAGCTAGTGACGGTAAAGACAGCTTACGCTAAGTTTGTAGTTGACACACTGAATTGGGTGCAAGAGGATGCGCACCAATTGTGCCATTCCTACATATTGGCCTGACGCATTATTATTTCTAAATTATGGTACTTGCTCATGCAGCTCAAATCTTTGAATCTAAAAATGTGCTGGGCCACTGTGCCCTGGCACCCCTCCCACCGGGCTTGGCAGATTTTCTGTGGGGAAACCCTGAACCTATTAACAGAGAAATGTTTTACCTTGCCCATTTGATGAGGTACGGCAGATGATTGAGAAGGCTGAAGGTGTAGAAAGAGTAGCGGATGATCTCTGTGACGGTCCAGGCTGTGACGAACAGCAGCACACTGTCCTCACTTTGCACCTACACACACGTAAAGACGATGGATTGAGGACAAGGTAACAGAGGGAGTAACATCATGCTTTGGTCGAAATCTTCTAAACGTTGTCAACCAAGGACCATGCCGTTTGTTTGGGATGCTTTAGGGTCAGATCACACTGCAGGCTTGTCGACATTTTCTTTGGATATTAAGTTGCAACCGAAGCAAATACAATGTTAGACAGATAGCCACACTTTGTCACAATGAATATTCTCACAGGCACTTAAAGAGAGAAAAGTAAGAACTCAAGAAAAATGTCAGTACGACAACCACACTTACAGAATAAAAGATAGGAGTTACACAGCATAAATTATTCCGGATATCTAATAGATTCATTCCTTAAGTCTTCCAGCAAAACCCTCTATTTTTACTCACACACGTACTTTTCTCCGATCTATGAACAGGGCAAAAGGTACATCATCTGGTCACTTTTGAGCACCAATGTTTAAAGACATGTAAAATACAATTTGAATAATGATAAGTTGATTTAGCTTACTGGGTTATAGATGTAAAAGAAATGAATATACCTCTCTGACGCTGTGAGTGACGGCCCAAGTGAGAAAGACCCGAGACATGACCTGGAACCCCGTCAGGACCACAGAGGACGGCACGATTCCTGAAATTAGGATCAAGACCTAACTTTGACTGCTTTATGCTCCACTGCAACAGAAACTGGGTCTCAGCAGGATTTTTGCGATATTTTCTGGAACCTATCATCTGCTGTCCCGCCCCCAAGCTGGACAAATACATTTAATATTTACAAAGAGGCCAATTACTAGGTGTTGAAAAACCCCAGTTCAAACAACTCTGATCTGTCTGAAAGAAATCCAATCCCAAAAATGGCCTTGTGTACAGAAACTGTGTATCCACACTCTAAAGGTGACCCTATACTAGAATTAGTGTAGGGAAGATTTTTAACTACTCTAAAAAGTAATTTTCCCACACTTTGAAGGTGAAAAGCACCTGTCGGAGGAAGAAGTTGCTAAAACAATGAGTTCAACTCCTTGGTGAAAAACTGTTTCTGTGTACAGTCTCTATGGTAACCAGCTGCTGCCATGGCCAATAGTTACCTTCCCCATTGAGGCTTCAAACCTTTGCTCAAACCACAGCAGCAGGTTACAGACGTCAGATCCAACATTTTATTGTTTGAACTCAATGTTAGCCGCTAGCACTACTAGCAATGTTGGATTCAGAGAATTTGTCGCTTGAAAAGCTAAAATAACGACAAGTAATAGTCCCCAGGATTTTGGTCTGCAGTTTAACAACTGTTCAGAAGGAGATGATGTCCATTTTTACCAGGACAGTGGAGAAATCAAGGAGCCATTTGCTTCGAGTTCAACTGCAGAGCATTATTTACAATTGGAAAGGTCAGCTAGCTTAAAAATACAGGTAACGGATGGCACCGTAAGCAACATTTAGGTAAAAATATTTTCCGATCGAACGGCTTAGATCGTTCAAAATCCTGAAGGTGATAAAGCAGTTAGAAACATAAGAGTGCACCAATCAAAAGGGCAGAGGTTGTGAGCACTTTTGATCTTTTCCCAACTCATTAAAAGCAGAAAAATGAAGAACTCGCCCTAATTTTGCGCTGTAAACCCATTCAGACCTTCTACTTTGACAGATTTGTTAATTAATAAAGTTTGTTTTGATGTTAAAAGTTGTTTCCTACTATTAACCTTACACAGCGTGTTCACAGAAAGCAGTGGCAGAGAGGAGTAGGATTGCACAGACACTCACCTACAGCACAGTGCAGGATCTGGGAAATAAAAAGAGAGAATTACTCAGTGTGCTTCTAAAGGTAATGCACAAATCTCAATGGTAACAATTTCCAACCATGTGACACACAGGACTACAGAACCTTGTATGCTAAAATTTTTGAGCTTGCATTTTTGGCTCTGTGCCTTTAGCTCGGGGTTGTGAAACACGCTGGGTTATCAGTCTGATATTTACCACAGGACATACCAAACAATCTAAAGATAACAAAGAACAAGGCTTGGACCGGGTACACCTTTACTAGCCTAATGGTTTTTTTCTACTCCTGAAACAGGAAACAGTTTGACTCAAAAAAATAAACATCCCATGTTCCATGCAAAAAAAAAAAACCAAAAAACATTTATAACTCAAAAACAGTACGCCTACGCAGCAATGGTACTTCTTGCCTCGTACGAAAAGTCTAAACTGTCTCAGTGTTCGTGTTTATCTAACCTCCAGAAGAGCTCCTGTCTGAAAGAACTTCAGCGGTTTCTCTATAGAGTAATAAAGGCCGTGGTAGCTTCCTCTGGCCAGGTAAGCTCTAACCAGACCCACCGCGATCACCAGCCATCTGGAAGCACAAAGGAGGACAGAGTTACACTCCAAAAACTTAACTTCTTTAATAAATGATTATTCTATCAGGTTAGCGCATGACTAATGTCCAATTGAAGGAAATTCAGTGCAAAGAACAATCCAGTTTGAGGTTCAATTTTGAAGAACTGCAATGCAATCATATTAACAAAACTAGAGTAAAATATGTTTGCTTTAAATAAATAAAGTATAGAGTAATGCATGGATGACCTTTCCTTTTTTCTCCCTTAACAATAAACACCTTTGTTTGTTTCCTTTGACTAATATTTAAATCGGTTTGATGTGCAGAAAGTCGCATCAAGCCGACCAGGAAGGGGCAATCACTTTTTCTCACCACTGCATCAATAAAATTATCACATCTTTCTGAACAAAAAGGCATGCAAAAAGAGGTAATTACTAAATAATTATTCTTTCACAGTGTGTGTTTGGCATAAATCTATCTGACACGTCACCAAATTTAGACTTTTGATGAGTATCGGTAGAAGATACTCATCAAAAGTATCTTCTACCAGCTGAACTAATTACAAGAATTTGCAAGTCTGAAATTTCAACATTTTTTCCCCACTACAAGAGCAGGCACTGTATAGCAGCGCACCGGAACTGAGTGCGCTGCTATATGTGACCGAACCAGTTGGAGCAGTGAGAAAACAACGCCCATCACGTCATTGTGCAACAGTTTTAAAAAATCTGAGCAATAAAAGGACACGTAGAGGGATTTATTAGCTTGTACTTCTGGTCTGAGGTTATTAAATAATACACTGGACTATTTAGGAAGCAATGTGCTGTTCTGTTTATAAGCCTTATTATCCAAACTGAAGGCTGCTGTATTTAATTTCTGTTGCTGATTACATTCCCTTTAAATTCTTTGTCAAAAGAGAAGCCAAATTATATTTGCCTATGCGCATTTATAACTCGTCTGTAAAGTGTGCAGTTAGAGGCTGACCTTCAAACAGACAAGCATCTGATTGGTTGGCTGCTGTGGCCTCATAACGCACCGCAAACAGTCCAACATCCACTATGCTTCAAATTCAACTCAACTAAAGAAAAATATCTAGGAGTTAAACTTATGTGTATTATAAGCCTGGTGGGCCACCAGGCTTTATTTGTGCCCCCACCAGACTAAGCATTGTTTATTTGATTAAGTCTTTTCAAAATGTTTGCATTTTTAAGACTTTATAGATGGTGTTTAGGTATTAATTTTCCAATCTTTCAATGACACAACTATCATGTGATATTTTTAAATTTTCTGTCAGCTTTAAATATTTTTCAACTCAAAAACACAACGGGCTGCTGAATGAATGACTGCCGTAGCGCCCAACCACAGGACTCAGCAAGTTTTCTGGGGGAAACCTTGTACACACATAAACATTTTTAACTTTAAATATGTGTAAAGATATATGACAGAATAAAGACTAGGGTGATGGAAAAGAGGCCTTACAACCTCAAAGACTAGGAGCTCATCAGGGAAACCCTTGACTGCTAGTGTCAATTAAGCTTCATCATTCATTATTTTTGTTAAAAAAAACAGATTTAATCTTCTAAAAGTGCATATTTATTAATAGTTCACTCAATGCACATCTGATTCTGAAGACAGAGTTGGGCATAAGTCACAGTGAGCAAACAATGGACCATCTGTCTGCAGATTATAACGTGGGACCCAGTGGAGACTTTACACTCAGCTGCTTGTCAGTCTGTTGCTCGTCTTACGTTCATTGCTGTAAGCTGTCGGAAGCCGTGCAAAAATTATTTTCCTTTTAAATAAAAGTAAATTTATGGAGCGTCGTACGGTTTGTGTTTTAAGCCATCACCGGTATTAAAAAAAAACAGCTCTGAATCAGCATAGTGCACGCGGTGAAATGTTATCTTATTACCAGTCCTGATTTGCTAACGCACGCTCCACCACCGCGACGGCGGAAGGTTAGCACGAGGAACCACGCTACCTACCCGGCTGTCATAACAACATTGTAAATAACCAGGTAGGCCGTGGCCAGGGCGCCCGGTCCTCTCTTCTTTTTCGGGCCCACGTCACCGTGGGCCGCTCTGCTGGTCCCCTGAGCAGCTGCCGACATGACTCCAACCGCCAAAAGCTCTCTGGTCCTGCACGACGGCGGCTGTCAGCTTCACCGAGTCAGGAAGGGAGCAGAGGCTGCTGCGCCAAGCATCCACCTGCAGCAAGATTACCGCTCTTCACTACTTCCGCTTTTACTTTTACTCGCCGAAAAAGCGCGATTCGTGGACTTGAGTAAGATTTTAATCAAATAACTTATTTTTAATAGAGCTGTCTTTAGAGGTTATTCATATTCCCTGGAACAGAATGATTCACCACCAACGTGTTGCCTTACAACAGACTTGTAAAAATAATAGCAGAAACAGACGGTACTTATCTTGAACAAATACTTCATCTTGGACCCTTCTTCTGAGCGTTTAGTAAACGAGAAGCGCGCCCCCTACCGTTTGATAAAATCCCACTCGTCTCCAGCTTATCTATTTTTCACATTTATTCTAAAACTATGCTTAGAATATGGACATTACATGCAGACACTCAACTCCGAAATGATGAGGTATACTGCAGGTCAAATTGAATAATATAAAAAACATTTGGGCAGTAAATCAAAAATGAGATTTTATTGAGGAAAAGAAAATATAAACAGAGATAATGGCAGGCTTTAAAATTCATTAAGACAAACAATACATCTTATTTCATATTGCCCGGGCCAATATGCAGGGCCATCATGTTTCATTTTGGTTTTGGACTAAATGAAGAACAGATAATGGAAATATAATATGTTTCTTTTGTTTGTTTGTTTGTTTGTTTGTTTTTTCAACAATGGCACATAATGCTCAAAGGAAATGTGTGTTTAACGTGTGGCAGTTTTAGAAAATATTAAAGTTTATTTAAATTAGTTTTTTTATTTTGTTTTGAAGCAGATACAATGTAAAAATAATTAAAAACAACTTGATGTTCAATATAAATGTTTGCTATAATTATCAAAAGTTCAGTTGTCCGTGTTTGCATGACGTTGGTGAGTGTAGAACATAATGCATTGTAACTTAAAATGAAGAGTTAGTGTTTCCTCGCAAAAGCTGTTCGTGTGTGTGTGTGTGTGTGTGTGTGTGTGTGTGTGTGTGTGTGTGTGTGTGTGTGTGTGTGTGTGTGTGTGTGTGTGTGTGTGTGTGTGTGTGTGTGTGTGTGAATGACAAAAACACATTTTCGTGCAGATACTCTAAGACGCGCAGATACCGCATCTCAGTAGCCGACTAATAGAAACTGGGTTTCCTCTCTTTCTCCACTAGAGGTCCCCATTTCACTTAGAAATGAAATGACGCCGAAACGTCACTTTTAAATGGAAATGTTTTAGTAACTCCCGTTCTATCAATCTGCGCATAACGTTCTGTGTTATGTATAAACAAACTACTTTTACATAAAAGTCACGAAATGTGATACAACCTTTGACGTACATGCAGCTCTTTCTATCTCTCCCTCTCTTTCTCGCACACGCAGGCGTTGGATTTGAGTATTACTGTTCAGGCATTATGCGAGACAGCCAGGCTTCCGGAAGAGCAACTGGTGTAACTTTAATGGACAAGGAGGAAGAGACGTTTGTTTAGGTTTAGCCTCGGGAACACATCTACTTTTCCCTTATCCCGGAGTAGGATTTCTCTCTCTCTCTCTTTTTTTAATCGTTAAAAATGCCTTTGTTTTCCCAAAACCCCTTCGACCAAGATGTCGGTGAGTGTAGCGATTGTTTTGGGGGCCTTTTAGTTTTAACCCGAGTCAGTGCTGCTGTCGGGAACTGAAGCTAATGCTAACTTAGCAGCTGCACTTCGATGTGGAGTTATTTAAGCGCTGAAAGCTTCTGTAATGTCAACAGTTACAAGTATGGACATATATATTAACTTATAACACACAGACTGATAAGCTGTCAACAGCTTGTTCAGCGGTGTCGAGGACTGTTTGGTAACCAAACCTCGAGTCTGACCAGAAGCTTGAATTATCAGTAACACACTTGTTCCCAAAACACCACAGTAGGCGGTAGTAGGAGTTTGTTTCTTTCTTTTTTGATTTGTGGAGCTTTTGTAGAACATGTTGTGGTTCAAAATACCATGTGGAAATAATGTTGATCATGTCAAAATTATATATTATAGTTTACAATTAACAGAAATACATAAAAATAATTAAAAGAGTAGTATAATCTGAGATGTGTTGTTCAAGAACGTTTGTTTATTTAAGCAGTTTTAAAACTTAAGGTTTATGTGTGATGGTGGATAATTTGAAAGGCCACGAACATTGGTCAACATGGCAATGTTTTGTTTTAATAATTTGCTTGATATATAAAAAAACAAATCTCAAACATTTGTCATATTTTTAAGTGTAATAATGGGTCAAAATGTCAATCTAAAGGGGTCAATTTGGACCTACATTGACAGATTCGGCAGTACAAACCACATTTGACTCAAACAAAAAATATGTAACTCTAAGTCCCACATGATCCAAGTCATCAACTTCTTAGCGTTCGTTTTCATACAATAGTATGCTATGCAGTTACACTCTATAGTGAAGTGGGAAAAGCCTCCTCCTGTCAGGATTAGTTAAGCTTCAGCGCCTGGGCCTTCCTTAAAGAGAACGTTTGGCACTCCCACAGCCTCCGCATGATGAATGATGTCAACGGTTTATGTCCATTGAATACCATTGTTTTTCTCTTTCTTGCCAACAGTAGATTTAAAATGACATAACTTTTTTTTAATTGATACATGAGCTTATTTTGCATACACCTTTGCTACGATTTTGAAAAATTTGCCTGTTTTTTTTTTTTTTCCCCTTTTTCTTTTTGACATTTGAAAACAAAATTTGTACTCAGGTAACTGGTTTCACAGGTCAATCCATGTTTTTGGGCATTTATTCAAACGCAAAGATGTTGATGAAACTCCTGACATTTCAGCGCGTCTTAATATGCGTTTTTTGCAAGTGGACAAAAGTTATAATGCATAGCACGCCTCTTTCACCTCAAATTATCTGTTGTTTAATGATAATTCTCTGGCCACTGGAGATAAAATTTTCACGATGCCCATGTAAATTTCATTCAAAACATCCTCGTTCTCCTGCTGTGTCTGCCGGTGCAACACGCCAAGTTCTTGTATGACCAACAATGGCGCAGTGTGTGAACTGAGGAGTCATGAGTGTCGTGACAAATGTTCATTCGGGGAATTTTCTGGCCCTCGTATTACTCAGAAGAGTTCAGTTTGACAGAAAATCTACCTCCATCATAACAACTGAGGTAGTTTAAAAAAAAAAAATTAACTTGGAAATCCAACATGATTACTGATTGACTCATTTTCACTAGCTGTAATGGACATTTACATTTGAGTGACATTTGTGGTTTTACTTTGACAGGGAGAAATGGCAACTTCCTGTATTGGAACACTGTAAATTATGAAATTTTGTTGAATTTTATGATTCATCAGCTACAGTTAGGGCCAGAAATATTTGGACAGTGACACAGGTTTTGTTATTTTAGCTGTTGACAAAAATATGTTCAGAAATACAATTTATATATAGTATGGGCTGAAAGTGCACACTCCCAGCTGCAATATGAGAGTTTCCACATCCAAATCGGAGAAAGGGTTCAGGAATTATAGCTCTGTAATGCAGAGCCTCCTCTTTTTCAAGGGACCAAAAGTAATTGGACAATGGACTCCAAAGGCTGCAAGTAACTCAAAAGGCCTTTCCCTCGTTAACCTGTAATCAAGTAAGTAGTTAAAAGGTCTGGGGTTGTTTCCAGGTGTGTGGTTTTGCATTTGGAAGCTGTTGCTGTGACCAGACAACATGCGGTCAAAGGAGCTCTCAATTGACGTGAAGCAGAACATCCTGAGGCTGAAAAAAATGAAAAAATCCATCAGAGAGATAGCAGACATGCTTGGAGTAGCAAAATCAACAGTCTGGTACATTCTGAGGAAAAAGGAATTGACTGGTGAGCTTGGGAACTCAAAAAGGCCTGGGCGTCCACTGAAGACAACGGTGGTGGATTATCACCGCATACTTTCTTTGGTGAAGAAGAACCCGTTCACAACATCAACTGAGGTCCAGAACACTCTCAGGGAAGTAGGTGTATCTGTCTCTAAGTCAACAGTAAAGAGAAGACTCCATGAAAGCAAATACAAAGGGTTCACATGTAGATGCAAACCATTCATCAATTCCAAAAATAGCCAGGCCAGAGTTAAATTTGCCCAAAAACACCTCAAGAAGCCAGCCCAGTTCTGGAAAAGTATTCTATGGACAGATGAGACAAAGATCAACCTGTACCAGAATGATGGGAAGAAAAAAGTTTGGAGAAGAAAGGGAACGGCACATGATCCAAGGCACACCACATCCTCTGTAAAACATGGTGGAGGCAACGTGATGGCATGGGCATGCATGGCTTTCAATGGCACTGGGTGACTTGTGTTTATTGATGACATAACAGCAGACAAGAGTAGCCGGATGAATTCTGAAGTGTACCGGGATATTCTGTCAGCCCAGATTCAGCCAAATGCTGCAAAGTTGATCGGACGGCGCTTCACAGTACAGATGGATAATGACCCCAAGCATACAGCCAAAGCTACCCAGGAGTTCATGAGAGCAAAAAGGTGGAATATTCTGCAATGGCCAAGTCAATCACCAGATCTTAACCCAATTGAGCATGCATTTCACTTGCTCAAATCCAGACTTCAGACGGAAAGACCACTAACAAGCAAGACCTGAAGGCTGCGGCTGTAAAGGCCTGGCAAAGCATTAAGAAGGAGGAAACCCAGCGTTTGGTGATGTCCATGGGTTCCAGACTTAAGGCAGTGATTGCCTCCAAAGGATTCGCAACAAAATATTGAGAAAAACTTTTTTGTTTGGGTTATGTTTATATGTCCAATTACTTTTGAGCTCCTAAAATGTGGAGTGTTTGTAAACAAATGTACAATTCCTACATTTTCTATCAGATATTTTTGTTCAACCCTTTAAATTAAACGTTACAATCTGCACTTGAATTTTGTTGTAGCGGTTTCATTTCAAATCCAATGCGGTGGCATGCAGAGCCCAACTCACAAAAATTGTGTTACTGTCCAAATATTTCTGGCCCTAACTGTAAGACCTTATTCTGACTTAGGCTCCCAGGCCCTTGCGCAGCACGTGTTAACTCA